CAGGAAAATAGTGTCATATTTACAAACCTAATTATATAGAGGAGGAAAATTACCTAAATGATAGTAATCATATGGATAGAGTTCACATACTTTATATTGTTTGCTTTTTTATCCTGAATACTCAAAACGTGGAGTTTGAAATATAACAGAAATAATACTTCTCTGCCTTTTGGCTAAGACCAAGTGTATTATCTGTTCTTATCAGTTAAATATCTGAAATATACCAGGAACAACAACAATGAAAGGTAGATCTGGAGCCAGCCAAACCACCAGGTTTAAGTCCTGGCACCACATTATGTCATCTGTGTAAATCTGTGACAAGTCACTTAGCCTGTGAGTCTCAGTATCCTCATCTCTAAAGAATGATGGGGGAATACTGTTAAAAATATCTGGAAAATCGTAATAAATAATGCATAAATAACAGCTATTATGTAGTTGCCTAGCTCTAAGGTGTGTAATAACAAGTAACTACTGATTTTTTTTTTTTGTTTTGAACTGTAATAATGCATAAACACCCACTAGCTAGTTTTTATTTTTTTTTATTTTTTTATTTTTTTTAAAGAGGCATGTATTTTTATTTATGTATTTATTTATTTATTTGTTTGTTTGTTTGATTATACATGCATTGGGTACAGTCAGAAGCGCAGGAGGGTGAGAGAATTCACCAGAGCCAGAGCGGGGAGCAGAGCAGGCAGAAGGACCGAAGTCCACTGCTGAGGGGAGCAGCGGGCGGCAGGAGAGGTCTGTGCGCCATGTGGGACTCTCCTCTGGTGGCCGGGGAGCAGCCGGGGATCGAACCGGCGCCGCAGAGGCCGCGGGCAGCTTCGCAACCCAGTGCTCAACCGCTGCGCCACCGGGGAGGCCCCACTAGCTAGTTTTTAATCAATTTTTTCTGCTTTCTTTTTATTGTCAAATGGGTTAATAATGTTTGGGTAATGTGCAATATAAGATTTTATTTTATTTATTTTTTTAAAGATTTATTTATTTATTTATACAAGCACTGGGGTACAGTCAGATACATGGGAGGGTGAGAGAATTCAGCAGAGCCAGAGAGGGGAACAGAACAGGCAGACCGACGAAATACACTGCTGAGGGGAGCAGCGGGCGGCAGGAGAGGTCTGCGTGCCTGTGGGACCCTCCTCCGGTGGCCGGGAAGCAGCCAGGGATCGAACCGGCGCTGCAGAGGCTGCGGGCAGTTTTGCAACCCAGCGCTCAACCGCTGCGCCACCGGGGAGGCTCTATAAGATTTTAATTATGACTTAATAGGTCAAGAAAAATCAAGAGTTGAGAAATATTTAAACTTAAATATTTTTTGGTGCAAGCATCTGGGAAAACTATGCTAATTTTGATGGAGTATTATAATCTGAAGACACTAAAATAAACACATATTTGAAAATATTTAATACATTTCTTTTCACTTTCTCCTTAGCACTATGTACTTACAGAAATTGAAACTATTTCTAGAACAAAATAGAGAATATTCAAATGTTCCTGAAGAATAAAATAGAAATTAACTCTATTGTGTAGAAAGACTTATAAAACTAAATTAGGACTGTGGTTATGTCACAGGGATAGGAAAATTGAGAGCATCAAGAAAGTCATGTACATGTGAAAACTTGGTTTACGACTGCTGAAGTATTGGTCATAGGAAATAGGGTGTATTATTGAATAATGCTCTTGGGACAAGTTGTTACCCATAAGGTTGATGTAGATATTTTCTTTTACACTATGTACTAAAATCAATACTTCATAGATCAAGCACTTCAATGCCAACCGTTAATCTCTTAGTAGAAGTCATAGAAGAGTATCTTAATGGTCTTGGCAGAAAGAAGGTTTTTTTTTTATCCCCAATCTTTATTTATTTATTTTAAATATTTATTTATTTATTTATTTATTTATTTATACAAGCACTGGGTACAGTCAGAAGCGCGGGAGGGCGAGAGACTTCACCAGAGCCAGAGCAGGGAACAGAACAGGCAGAAGGACCGAAGTACACTGCTGAGGGGAGCAGCGGGCGCGGCAGGAGAGGTCTGCACGTCATGTGGGACCCTTGCCCGGTGGCCAGGGATCGAACCGGCACCGCAGAGGCTACGGGCAGCCTCGCAGCCCAGTGCTCAACTGCTGTGCCACCGGGGAGGCCCATCCCCAATCTTTAAAAATTAATAGCAAAAATAAATAAATAAATAAAAGTACACCATCAATGATATATAATTTGTGATATTTCAGGAAACCAGCTGTTGAAATATTTACATTCTGAAAGAAGTGCTTTATTCTTTAGAGATGATTAACATTCAGCAGTATTTACATTGACCTAGTACCCATTTCTTTGGGTTTAAAAATAAACTGAGTCCTCAATATGATATAACAAGTTTAAACTTTTATCTGTTGTAAACTTGTTGGCTATTATATAAGGGCTCTCTCATATTGTTAGTGTTATTTCATTTATCTCCTTCGTTCTTCTGCAAGGAGATCTTAGATCCAGAAGAATCTCCCTGCCAAGGGCCCACTAGCTCCCTCGATTGTGCCTCATCTGCTGAGGAACAGGTAGTGAAAATGACTGACCTCTAAATCAGATAATGTGCTGACTCTGAAACTGATGACCATTAAAAGAGAAATGGAAAAAAGAATCTTTTTCTTAAATTCCATTCATCAACCATTTGCATAACATATCTGTGGCTTGCCAACAACCACAGAAAGGTAAGGCTTCCCACTCAGTACACTCAACAGACAGATTCACAATAAGGTCCAGAACACCTGACAACACTCACTGCTTTTGAATCTAGGCAAGTGAAAACATGGCACTGACGTCACAGTTACCAGCCACACAAAAAATGAAAGTGACAGAGGTGATGGTTCATGCGTGGTAGCAATGGAACTTAACATGTATCTTTTTTTATCCTTTGGACACTGTCACTTGGATGGCTCCATGCCAGATCAAACAAACAGGAACAGCAGGAGACGTGATGTTTGTCATCTGTGCAATTATTAGTCTTGGAATTTTAAAAAAACTTACACTGCTTCTCAGCACTGACTTCATGTAAATGTTCCATGCAATATAGTTTAAGAAAAGTTTCTGAGTATACACGCAGCTGGAACACAGACCAATTGGCTTCATTCTTTATCTGTGCAGAATGCACTAGCAGCTGGCTGGCTGTCCGACTCATCCTTGGCTCACTTTCAAGGCAGTGAGAAAGGAAGTCCAGAAAGAAGGCTCTTAATGAAGACATAAAAGTGATAGCTGGAATGGAGACAATTGATACCTTTTAATATATTAAATTTAAGAGTTTCTGATCATTAAAAGGTACTCCAAGGAAAGGTAAAAGACACATAAATTCAGAGACTTTGGTAGCAGCCACATAACCACAAAGCAATAAATTAACATTCAGAACATATTTTAAAAGTCTATAAAGAATAAAATAAAATTTAAAAGAATTCAATGCAAACCAGACATGTGGAGACATTTCACAAAAGAAGAAATACAAGTGGGCCCTCAACATCATCTCAACATTTTAAAGATACTTTAATTCATTAGTAATAAGGAAATCCAAAATGAAAAAATGGTGAAATGACATTTACAGTCCTAGTGTTGGAAAAAAATTGATGGATCCAAATCAATAAGAACAAAGAAGAATCAATGAGAACTCTTACACACTTGATGGTAGAGGGGAGAGAGTTATTTTGATACATCTTTGGAAATTGACTTTTCTATATTGTATTATCACATAAGTTGAATGTTCAAATACCCTATCGACTCATTGGTACAACTCTTGAACATCCACTCAGAGAAGATCAGTCATATTTATCAGAGATCAAATGTAAGAATGTTCATGTCAGCATCGTTTGTAAAAGAATAAAAATCAATTAAGTGACCAAGGGCAGGAGAATGGATAAAGCATGATATAGCTACACATTAAAAGAATGTACAATCATAAAATATGAATGAATGTAGTCTCTTGATTCAGTAGTGGATTGCTCAAGAAACCTGTGGAAAACAATCTGTTTTGATAAGCCTTTAAGACAAGCAAAATTAGAAGTAGATTTTAGGGTCAGAGGTGAGATTATATTTGTATTTGTTTTCAATAAAAATCTGGGGGTTATTCGCACAAAATGCAGGCTTATGATAACTTTGAATGGGGTATACAGAGAAATACAATGTAAAAGACATACTTAACAGAAATTTTCCTCCTAAACAAGAAGGTACATTGCTGCCAATTTTGATGGTTCAGATAATAGATGCTCATTTAATTCATGTTTAATTTTTTGTTTGTTTTATTATATATACATAAAATATACTAGGCAGATTCAATTAAGCTCTTAGAAGGAAAGTGTATCTCTACAAAGTTCATGGAAATTATATGATGTACAGACTCAATATTAGCATTTTAAAAATGTCAATGAAATTGTTTATTTTAACCTTATTTTTAGGACATTATTTGAATTATTTATTTGCAAAGGAAAGCAAAAAGTGTTAAAGGTAGGAAAAAGAATATTTCAGGACAACAGAGACTAACTCTGATGTGGCATGATCAAAGACTTGTGAAGCCAGCAGTCAGCTGCAATGATAAAATAGTTTTTCAGATATGTGGTTTCTTCAGTAGCTATGTGAGCATGTTTTAAATAAGTTCAGGATATGACAACTAGATGTCAAGTCAAAGGATTGGTGGGGACAAAAATATTTGACCAATACAACTATTAAAATATTAGCCCTAATTCATAGGAATTCTTTCTGAAGCCAAACAATTTTGAGTAACCTAAAATGGAGCAGTTCTTTCCCACGTACTTTTTATATTGCATGTTGTAAAACACGAACTATAGTTTTTCGCATGTACCTTCTGAGAGTTTTAAAATTAATCATCATGAACATGGAAACCTGATTAAATTCAGTGTTACTTTCAGCATTCCACATGGTGTCTTTGTTTAAGATGACAAAAAAAAAAAAGGAGGGGGGGAAATGTCTTTTTAACTTTCTTTCTTCTGCTTTGCTCCTTTTCTCCGTTAAGGTGAAAGTCTGGTTCCAGAACAGGCGAATGAAGTGGAAGAGAGTAAAAGGAGGACAGCAAGGAGCTGCAGCTCGAGAAAAGGAACTGGTGAATGTGAAAAAAGGAACACTTCTCCCTTCAGAGCTTTCAGGAATTGGTGCGGCCACTCTCCAGCAAACCGGGGACTCTCTAGCAAATGAAGACAGTCATGACAGTGACCACAGCTCGGAGCATGCACACTTATGATACACAGAGAAGATAAGCTCCATTCTCAGGAAAGAAATGTTGTGATGGCAAGCCTTATTACTCAAACATCGTTTACACAGAGAGATGACTATAACAGTGATTTTTAATATTATTAAATACAGGCATCTTGAGTCCATTCATAATGAGTTATAGAGGGTTTACACTAAGTACCACTTAATAAAAATGCTTCCACGATGAAGATGGAGAAGGTTAAGTTGCTTTGAATATTTCAGTTGTGTTGGTCAAGTGTATGGCCATGAGCAGGTTTGTGTTTGCTTTTGCTTGCACTGAAAATTAAATTGCTATCAAGAGCAAACCATGAGTCATTTTTATTCAAGATGCCTCCAGAATGAAGATGCAGAAGATGAACTTTGAACATTCCAGATGTATGAGATCATGTGTATGACAGTGGGCAGGTATTTGCTTTTGCTTGCACTGACAAATTGCTATCAAGAATAAACCACGAAACATTTTATCCTGAATAGCCACAGTGCCTGAAATCACTCTTAAGTGGATTTAAAAAATGTATTTTAACTCTGTATATATTACCCTTAAATCATTTTCCTGTCTTCACTAAGTTTAGCAATGCATTCATATTAGCTGATGAAAATAGGCACTCACAATGACAACCAGAACCAACTTCTTGTCTTTTATATACATTTTTTCATCCCAGAAACAATCAACACATACTTGTGTTCAAGTAGAGAAAAATACATTAGAGTCTGATAGGACATATTCTTGTACCACAGACAAAACAAATCTTATGTTGCATTTTCTATCAACTGCTGCTAATACATTATTATAAAACTTACCTAGCTCCTCAATTCTTCCTATCTTATAGCTTGAAGAAAATTTAGGATCATAACCAAATCAGTTACCCTGCCGAAAGGGTTTTGTATGACACGCATTGTCTGATTTTATGTCTATAAAATGTTAGCTGTTATGAATATGATTTAATTATCAAGAAAGAAGGTTTCCCCATGTTTGGCAATGGTGTTAGACAAGTTGAAAAGCAAAATTGGTAGATGAGTCTCGAGTTGGTAGATGAAACAATTCTGGATGTCTCCAAACTAAATGCAGTAAAAACACATTATTTTTTTTTTCATATATGATGTATTCATGCAGAAAAACAATCTTTGTATTTTGTAAAAAGAATGTTTAATAAATGATCCTTTGTAAATATTTTTGGTCTCCCTAGTGATTTCCTAAATTCATACAGGTTTTGTTACAAATACTTTCAAAAATCTCAAATTCATCTTCTTTTATATGAATCCAGACAACCATAATTAATGAATCATCTACATTCTCTTTTGTGAGTTTCTTAAGTTTTTATAATAGAAAAATAATCAATCCTTGGGCATTCAAAGATCATTTAAAACCTATTATACATTAAGCCATTTTCCCTAATTGAGGAACATGTCAAATGGATCTCTTTGAATGTTTTATGATTTTTAAGATAAAAATAAGAGAAAAGGTAATACTGTTGATCACAAGGAGACAAAATAGTAATATATTTTAAAACTTACATATCACATATATGAATTATTCCAATAGTTCTTTCTAAATAAAAATATCCAATAAGTGTTTCTCTCTCAAATGTTGATGTGAAAATAAGCTAAGTAAGCTAATCAGAATTCTCCATCCTAATGGTCATAACCAATATAATAATTAAAGGGTAATATTAACGTAATGTATTTTGTATCATGCACAATTGCACATGTACTGGATTCCTAAGTCCTGCTTACAACTTTATAACTCTGTGTCTTCTTTGGTCCATGTTTAACCAGAAATGTTTAGAAACATGCAAAAGCTTGCCCTCCTCCCCAATTAATCTAATTAATTAATTAATCAATCAGAAATAGAGAAAAACAACTGGTAAAGGTTTTCAAAAGCCTCATTATTTAGTTTGTTTCATTTGCTATAGAATATTGAGGTTGACAAACAATAGATTCAGTTGACAGTAGCTTACTTAATCTAGCATGATATAAAGACAGTATTCAGGAAATAAAGTTAATAATTATATTGTTTGTATTACAATTTTCCCTTTGTGTAATAAATGTTATTGTAGAAGTAGGCAATATTTCTAAATTAATTTTGCATGGAGCTCATTCACACGGAGGTCATCCAAGAATAAAACAGACACTTTTCTATCAACCACTTGAATGACTCCAAAGTATATTTGTAATGATGACATCTACTTGGGTGGACTGACTTTCTTATTGTAGGATTTCAATTCAAAACATCTTGACAAATTGGAGAAGTGGGAAGATATAAATTGAATTGAGCTCAATAAGAGCAAAATCGAGAGTAATTCATTTAGGCAGGAAAATAAGTTTCAGAAATAAGAGGAAAAGACCTCTTAAGAGTATCTAAAGAGATCTAAGGGTTGTGGTCAAATGGAAAGATATAAGAATTACAATTTAGTATGATAAATGAAGTACAAAAAAGTGATTTTGAATAGATATGACATTCAGGAAATGTGAGGCATTTTTATTATGGACTATGACTTTATTATGGAGTGTTGAGCTATTCCAAAATGATATAAAGTTGATTCTAGAGAACATGAAGAATCACCAGGCAGGACAGGGCGCTAGTTGACCAAAAGGGGGCATCATTTAATGTATAATGGATTAAAATGCTCTAGTATTTAAGATGCTGGGCATACTAGCATAACAATGGCACATTGTTAAGTAAATGATCCAGCGCGGGATTGATTTTAATTAAAAGAACTTTCTATTTTCTTAGTGTATTTTAGTATTCTATTATTTTATAAAAGCTGCATTCATTTGCTGGATCCTTCATTTTCCCTCCCCATCCTTCTAGAATTAAAATCCTATAAGGAAACTTAAGATATTCCCATATATTATTGGACTAAATTTACTCCAGAGAAGGCAAAATCTAAAAGAACTCTATTCGTTATTATTTTGCACTGGAAACCTGGCAGGCTGTGGTGTATTTTCACAAAACAACCTTTTCATGTAATTCTGGTGTCAGATCTTGTAGGTCTTTGGAAATTTATAATAACATGAAAGTACCTTTCTCTGAAAATAGTTTGAAATCATACTTAGAGTGATTTTTTTTTTTCTCAGGATTCAGAAGGATGAACATGACAAAGTTTCCTCAAAAACTGATCCACATATTTGTAACTCATTATTAACATGACCCCAATCTCCTTTTACTTCCCTTATTTACCTAGGGTTGTCAAACTATATTTTCTTTCCTGAGACCTAAGACCTGAGTTTGCCATTTTGTTCTTTGAAAACAAACTAAATGCACTTAAAACAATTCCAACCACAGTTTTAATACACTCAAATGACATTACATAAAATAAAGGTGGAAATGACTTGTGAAATTCAATAGGGTTTTCCTTAGGATAATAGGATGAAATTAGGAGTCAGATAGAAAAACAAAACAAATTACAAAAATAAATATTTTATGTTTTTAATGCTACCGGTTTTTTGAAAATACTTTTTAAATGTTGCTGACATATTAACTCTGAAAAATGTTATTTTATCTTTACAGAAGTTTAGAGGAAAGTATAGAGCTAAAATAAAATCACTAAAAAGATAGCAGAGTCTTTGCCTCCAACTACCACAGTTTTGGCAAAATTTTGTTTGGGGTAGTTTTACACAATGTCAAAGGGTGATGAGGGACAAAATTTATCATTTGTATCAAATAAAATTTTTGCTAAATTTTATACACTTAATGAAGTAAGTATCAGAATGTCTATAGGGAATGTTTTGTTAAATTTTTCAACTTGACAACAGCCCACAAGCCAGACTGATTAAATGAAAAAGGTGTTTCATCACAACCTTACTCTTGTCTGCTAGCTTCAGGCAGAATTAATCAGAATCTATGCAGTGACTCTTGCATAGATTGTATAAACCTCTTTAAGTAGAGCTAGACCTCCTTGCTATCAATAATTAAATCAAATACAAATATTTCTTTAGAGGAAATGCTTTTAATTTGTTCTCTGTATATATACAGGTAAGAGAAACATCTTACAATTTATTTAATGCAAAATATTATATAGATTGGTATAAATGTTTGACTAACAGTTGAAACATGTCATACATTATGCCCCAGAGCTTTTTTGATTTTTTAATAATATAAGCACAAAGTACTGTGGCACAACCTATAATGACTCTAACCTTGAAATTTATTTTTATCATGTTATTTTATTGTTTCTATTTTGAAAATATATATACATTTTAAAGTCTGTTAGATTATTATATGGAGTTTTATTAGATCTCACAGACAGTTTGCTTCTTGTAAACAGTTCTTTTAGAAATTTGCGTAAACCTACAGTTTTCTGTGCCACCCTTTCTAATCAACAATGTAACTATAAAAATAATTAAGTGCTTTTTAAGATTTTTGTCATCAAAAATAATTTTGGTGAATTTGTTCAAATTAAAAGAAAGATCACTTGCAATTTAAAAAAAAAAAAAAACTATCATTTCACTAATAAAGTCATATGAAACAAAAATTCTTCCAAACAGCATTTGAAATTCTAGGGGTTCACTAGGGAAGAAAACAGTAAAGTTCAGTGGTCCTGTTTTGAAGCTACATATAAACTTTCTAGAGGAAGCTTTCCTTCAGTTTTCCTTCTGCTATAATCAGTTCTCTATACTGCAGTCAAAGTGGTCCCTTTAAAATGCAAATCAGATTAATAAGTGGCTCCTGGAGACTTTGGCAAGTATAAAGTTTTCACGTGAATGCAGAAGACCATAACGAAACATTAGTAGACATTTTAAAAAGGCAAACCAGACCATGTTCCTCCTTTGTCCAGTGGCTTAGAATAGAACCCAAAACCTTTACCTAGGCCTCAAGGAAGAGCTGGTTACAAACTGGTGAAGGTCATATCTGCCCATATGATCCCTGCAGGGCATCAGGCCTATCACTCTTAACTTCCTGCCTATCCTTCACCACCTCCTCTCATTCAGTCACATTCCCTAGTCCCTCTGCCTGAAATGTTCTCCCATCATATTAATCTAGACTTATTTCCTCATTTTCTTTAGGGTTCCACTTCTATTCAGAGAATCCCTGATCTTCTTAAATAAAATTGTAACATCTCTTATCTTCTAGTCCTTTAACTAGCTGTTAGGTAGGTATCTGCTAATTTCTTCCCCTTTTTAATGCAAGCTTCATGAGAGCAGCAACCTTCCTGGACTATGATGTGCATTGATATGCCTCTAGCACCTTGAACAGCTCTTGGAAACCCCACCTGAATTTGTGTGAATTAGAAAAGGGCACCCCTTCTTCAGAATATTGGAATGTCAATGCCTGATGATCATGAACATGGTGAAATTATATAGTAACTGTGAAGTGAGTGATAACCCTGGATGTGTGCAATGAATAATTTACACAATTACAAATACTGACTGAGCTTGACAGGTTCTAGCCACCAAAAAATTTTTGTTGAACTGAAAGAATGAATGAAATCCATTTAAAGACATCTCGATTAGTTGTAAAATAGAGCTTTGGAACATTTTTTTTTTAATGGGCAAGTATATAGTCATTTCAACTCAAAACAAAAATTTGGTTATCATCTGTAAATGTGTGCTAAAATAATATACCAAGTTGCATGAGAGTAAGTAAAAATAAAAGGGAGAATAGACTTTAACATATGTTCATTTACGGTTTGAGAAAAAAAAGGGGGAAATTTTCTTTTACTCAGATGCCTGTCTTGAAATCCTCAAAATTTTTTGCAGACAATTTGGCTGGTTTCCAAACATACATCACTGCTTGTCTGGTATGAGGAATGCCATCTGTGTAGTATGGAAGCCCTTTTTAAAAAATGGACTGCTAATTATGCTCTAGGCAGGTGCTGTTAAAGTGAAATCAGGTGTCAAGCTTACAATTGTCCAAAATGACTATATTATTTTGAAAAAGAATGTCATACTATATTGTAAAATGGAATTTAAGCGTGACATGTAAGCATTCCATTTTGGGGATATTGCAAAGGTCAGATTGTATAGCAAAGCTGTAAAACTTTCAAATGACTTCCACCATCAACAATGGGATAAAGCTTTACTTTAAATCAAGGCTATAGGCTATTCAAAGTTATACATTACCCCAGTAAAACATCTTTCCAATTACAGTGAGTTAAAGAGTATGACTACCAATTAAAAACGTTATTTAATTTTGCAAAATTAGTTAACATTAGTTTCCTATACTTAGTA